GGAAAAGTATGGTGTAATGAAGCCAAGGAAGCTAAGCTTAAGTGTGAATAGCCAAGGGTGTCAAATATTGCAGAACACTTGAAAATGATTGGCTAAGTTGTTGAAAAAGTAGCAGCCAAAGGATTAGGATTCAAAATACTTAGTAAGTGCTGTGCTGGTCGGGTGCAGTGACTCACGCCTGTAATCCCAGCACTTTTGGAGGCCGAGGCGGGTGGATCATGAGGTCAGGAGGTCAAGTCCAGCCTGGCCAACATGGTGAAACCCCATCTGTATTAAAAATACAAAAGTTATCCGGGCGTGGTGGTGCGTGCCTGTAATCCCAGCTACTTGGGAGACTGCGGCAGGAGAATCACTTGAACCCAGGAGGCAGAGGTTGCAGTGAGCCGAGACCGCGCCACTGCACTCCAGCCTGGCAGCAGAGTGAGACTCCGTCTCAAAAAAAAAAAAAAGTGCTGTGCTGATAAATGTTTTAACAACTGTCTAGGGATGGGCTGTTTAGCTTTTGCAGATTTCCATAGTATAATATTACCATCATGGCCAATTTCAAACTACCAACATCATATCATTAAATGTGGAGTTCAGAAGCGATGTTTACTAAGAACAGTATACCATTACATAGAAGAAACTCATAATTCAATAAGAAAATGAAAATCTAACAGAAAAATGGGCAAGTATATGAATTGGCAGTTCACAGAGGAGGAAACAAATAGGCAATAAACGTAAATAAAGATGTTTATCTTAGTAGTAATATGTGTAAGGGACATACAAATTAAAAGAACAAAAAAATGCTTTCTTATCAGAATTCAAAAATTTTAAATATTTGATAATATCAAATCAGATGGGGACATGAGTAAATATTGATACTTTCACACCATTGATAGGAGTATGTTAATATGGCCATTCTTGAGGGCACCCTGGCAGTAGTTACTAGAATTAGAAATGGGCTCTCCTTTGATCTAGCAGATCATATTCTGATTTCTCCCCTAGAGTAGCATTTATACTTACACACAAGAAGATGTGTGTGAAAATATTCACAGTGGTATTATTTTTAGTAAAATTTACAAAACCATATGTCCAATGGTATGATTTGTGGTAGTACTCAAAAGGGAATTGGTTGCGTCCATAATTTTTAAATGTATACATTTTTAATGTAATTAACCTGAGTGTTTTGAATTTTCAGAGAGAGGAAGAAATTAAGGAAGTAAGAGCTAGAGAATGGGAGAGGATGTAGTCCAGAGTATAGGTAGAATTTGATAAAGAAAAGGAGAGAAATCGTCTTATAATTTTAAAAAAGGGATAAATATAGAAATGGTAATATATTGGCATAAAAATTGGCAAGCTGTCACCACAAGTCAGGGTCGGGGGGAAGGAACTTGTAAATTGTCTTCAAAGAAATCAGTTAACTATTTTGCCTAAATGTCTGAGTTTTAGACAGAAAGAGATATATTCAAGTAGATTTGGGAATGCATGTGGATTTTTTTTTTTTTTTTTGGTGAAACGTTTCTTGGGTCCGTGACAGAATGACAGTATTTTTCTTCCAATCTGTGGAAGTCAAATAAATTATACTTAGTTGCATTAAATGTTAGAATTGGATTTGGCAAGCTTGACAACACTTTTCTGATGAATGGCTGTTATCTAGAGATGATAATCCCAATTGAAGGTAGAGTGGCAAGGTCTAGATCAAACTATGAAGTGGTAATGATACTCAGCCAGCTGATACAGCTGCTGATTAGTTTTTTTTCTCCCTATCATCAGTACCATTTTTACTCCTCTGAAAAGACAATCTAATAATCTTGGTTTGGTATTTATTGGTCTCTGGATTTTAAATTTCTTAAAGTTACATATGGTTGTCTTTTGTTTTGGTTCGGCTTGCTTTGGTTGGGGCTTTATGTTTTAAATGTTAACATCTGGCTGGGCACAGTGGCGCGTACACCTGTAATTCCAGCACTCTGGGAGGCTGAGACACGAGAATCACTTGAACCTGAAGGCAGAGGTTGCAGTGAGCCAAGATCGTGCCACTGCATTCCAGCCTGGATGACAGAGCAAGACTCTGTCTCAAATTTTAAAAATAAATAAAAATAAAAATAAAAATTGGCCAGTCGTGGTGGCTCACACCTGTAATCCCAACACTTTGAGAGGCTGAGGCAGGTGGTTCACTTGAGGTCAGGAGTTCGAGATCAGCCTGGCCAACATGGTGAAACCCCATCTCTACTAAAAATACAAAAATTAGCCAGGAATGGTGGTGCGCACCTGTAATCCCAGTTACTTGGGAGGCTGAGGCAAAAGAACCTGGGAGGCGGAGGTTGCAGTGAGCTGAGATCGCGCCACTGCACCCCAGCCTGGGTGACAGAGCAAGACTCTGTCTCAAAAAAAAAAAAAAAAAAGTTAACATCCAAGTCTTGTATGTACTCTTCTAAATTTTTATAAAGTCCAACTTAAACATTATTACTGTGAGATTTTAGCTGGGAAACATGGAATTAAATTTTTTCCTAGTGTGGTAAAATTTTAATCAGTTAATTATTTTTAACTCAGAGGTTCTAAAAGCCACTGAAAATCATTGCCACTTTATAATTTTGTCTAGGCCTTGCCATTTTGCCTTCTTTTTGGTATTAGACAAGGTGAGCAACTCTATTAAAATACACAGATATAATGAACATTGCCTCTTCTCCCAATCTAGTCTTTACAACTTCTGTTAAGTCTTTTTAAAGTTCACCTTTTAGTATATTCAAAATTTCTTCAAAACCTTTAGCAGTTCTCTGCTAAGTTCAGAAGTCTTAGAGTTCTAAAATGCGAAATAATAAAATGAGAGAATGCTCATTTCCTGTTTCCGTTGCACAGAAGACCATTTTGTTACAGGCAAATTTAGTTTTAAACAGTACTTCTAAAACTTTTATTATTTGTATTCTTTCCTCTAAACTCAGTAATATAGGAGCAAAGGTTTTAAGTGGAAAATTAGTTAAAAATAAGTTTCTTTTTGCTGTGGACTCTAAAATGTAGATTAGCAAATACAGAGTTTTATCTCTTGTTCATGATAGTTCATGAACAGACCCAGTGAAAGGAAGTGCTGCCATGGTAACATAAACCAGACTGTTACTTGAGACCATACTCAAGATACTTAACTGCCCTGAAACTGCGTGTTTTCAATACCAGTTTTTCCAATTTGCTATTTCAAGGAAATAGCAACTCTACTGTGATCTAAACAATTTGCAGTCCCCTCACAATAGAATTTGTAAAGTAGACTTGAACTAAACAATTTCTAGGAGTGTAATCTCAGGAATTCCAAGGTAGAGCATGGCTAGCATTATTGAAATAATTGTCTTGGTCTGTGTATGAAAAGTAACGCATGCGTATCTTTTCTATATGAAACTGAATTGGCTTTGGGGCAAAAGGTGTTATAGGTGCTAACAAAAGGTGTTATAGGTGCTAACTTTTTAATTCTTTTTTTTTTTTTTTTTTTTTAAAGACACTGTTTCCCTCTGTCACCCAGATTGGCCTCAGCCTCCTGAATAGCTGAGACTATAGGCGCACACCACCACACCAGGCTAATTTTTCTATTTTTGTAGAGACAGAGTTTTGCCATGTTGCTTATGCTGGTCTTGAACTCCTGAGCACAAGCAATCATCTGCACCGGCTTCCCAAAGTGCTAGGATTACAGATGTGAGCCACCACACCTGGCCTGGTGCTAACATTTTCCCTGTCACCAAACACATTCATCATTTGGTCCAAGTGACTGAACATATAGCTAAGTGAAGTTTCATTTAATCCAAAAATACATTTGTAAAACTTGTCTTTTCTTGAAAAAGAAAAAAAAGAAAATGTCAAATACTTGTTCAGTATAGTTAATGTGATATCTTGCTGCTAAACACCAGAGAAAAGTTTCTGCTGATAATCCGGTGTGTTTCTTTCCTTATGACAGTGTGGTATGACAGCCATGGTTTTTCTCTTTCTTCATGACAGTGTGGTATGACAGCCATGGTTTTTCTGTTTATAGACATTACCAGCATGGTAAAAAACTGCCTTACACTCAATTGCTACACCTTTCCACAGGCAAAAGGTTTTATTCTCTCCTAAATTTATTTTATCCCTTGTTTTTTTACCATCTAACTTTTGCCTTTTTTTCAGGACTAATTGATTTTTTCTTATTGTTGATTTTTTTTCAAAATTCCCTCCTCTGTGGAAAGTAAAGGAGTAGGAATATACCATTATTCAACCAATATGCCGCAAACCCTTACGTATGTCACTTTCAGAATGGCCCCTTAATATTCACCTATTTTGCAGCTTATGTGCCTCTTGTGGATAAATCCTCTTATTTGAATCTCATTACAATTCAGTGAAGTGGACTGCATTGTTGTTTTACTTTACGGGTAAAATGTAAATGAGAAGTCTAACTCTCAAAAATTAAATGATTTGCCCAATATCACATAGCCAGTCAATAAGTAGTGATGGGGACCTCAGTTTTTGAACCTATATAACAGTGTTCTTTCATTTTGCCATTCAGCTATAAAAATTATGACACAATATTCAGAGATAAAAGAGCCTCAGTAATAGACTAATATTACCTTGAAAAAGACTGTGGGAAATGGAAGGACTCTGGAGATCATCACATTAAATCTTAATAGCAATCATAATAGCTTATATCATAGGAGATTTCATACACGCAAAAAGGAGTGTGAGAATGAGAAACAAGTAAATTTTGTTGTTATCTAAATCATTGTTAATGTAGTCGTAAAGGTAATTTAAATTTTAAGGAAGAGTTTTTGAAATAGAAAAGGCATAATATAAAACCAGAAACTAATAACATTTGAACCTCACTAATCTTGTGTGTTAGAGGAAGGTGACTTTTAGTCGCTACAGTGCACACATAGCAAACTCACTTCAACCTTAGTTTCATACTCAAAAGGTACTAGAGATTATTTCCCCCTGCACGTTTATTTAAAACATTTAGACACTGACTGTTTATGTATAAAAGTTCCTAGTTATTCTTGTGCATTTTATTCTAGGTTAATGGAAAAGGTTCCTTATGGTGTGTTGATCCGGAATATAAACCCAATCTTATCCAGGCACTGAAGAAGCAACCCTTTTCTTCAGCATCTTCGCAAAAGTAAGGATCTTCCATATAACTGTCAGTGGTAATTTATAGGATTTCATTGTGTGAGATGGAGAAACTTAAAGGTCTAGGGTATCTTGTTTCTGTTTTTTTATTGTATAAAGAAGTATTTATGTTTTATTTAGTTTTTAGTTTTTGTTTCTGTTTTTGTTTTTGTTGTTTTGTGAGACCAAGTCTTACTCTGTCACCTAGGCTAGAGTGCAGTAGCGAGATCTCGGCTCACTTTAACCTCTGTCTCTCAGGTTCAGGTGATCCTCCCGCCTTGGCCTCCCTATTAGCTGGAACTAAAGGCACGCACCACCACTCCCAGCTAATCTTTGTCTTTTTAGTAGAGACGGGGTTTCACCATGTTGACCTAGCTAGGCTCCAACTCCTGACCTCAAGTGATCTCCCACCTCTGCCTCCCAAAGTGCTGGGATTACAGGCATGAGCCACCATCCTTGACCCGTTGTTTCTTTTCTTTTTTTTTTTAAGAAGTCTTTATGGATAAGACATTAGCCTAAGTTAGTTTTCCTTATGGTCTAATTTGTATTTCTAGAAAACAGGAAATTGGTTAGTTGAGAACATACACTCTGGGAAATATAGTCAGTACTGAATATGTTATAAGTAAACCCTAAAGAAAGTTGTAGTATAATTTCAGCTACAAACAGATCAGATCATTTTAATTGTCTGCAATACTAATGCTAACCTAAAAATGAAGGAAACTAAAAATATATTTAAAATTTTTTAATAAGATGATTAAGTTTGTCATAACATTTTATATACATATGTAGGTTCTTTTTCTATTTTAGGGTTTTTTTTCATAGTACTTATAATATTTGAAAAGTATGTTCAAGTCTAAAATTTTTAAATGTTTGGCAAATAAAATAATGCTTTGAACTTTGTTTTTATTTTTTCTGGTAAATATAATTGTACTGTATTTATTTGCTTATAATTTTCCTTGGCTTTGTTCTCAATGCCAGTAACCCCTATTGATCTTCTAGCTTCCTCATTTTAAGTTAAATCTGAAAATACCCTGACCTTCTTAAATCTGATTTTTGTTTCCTTTTTCTAAAGCAGACTTTAGAGTCTTCTACAATTTATTATCTACCTTCATTTGAATTGAAAATCCCAGATTTGGTTAAAATACTTTTAAGGGTAGTTTATAATGGCTAACTTGTTTTTTGAAAAATTTAAGAAGATCTTTAATAAAGTAATAAATGGAAATTTTTAAACATATGCACAAAAGTAGAGAGAAAGTTATAATGAACTCCCAGCTGCAGCAATCATCAACATTTCATATGGTGGTTAATTTGAATTATTAAAGTATCATTAGATAACTTGCAGAGGAGTGGTTGTAGCTGAAATACAGTAAATAGCTGGGAAGGCTAAAGTTGAAATATCAGTAATATATTCACTCACTGAGATTTTAAGCTTCTTTACCATATTTGTAGATTAGACGGATCATTATCAAAAGAATAACTGAGGATTTATCTTTATGAAATGAAACCTAGAAAAGAAGTTACCAGATTTTATATTCTCATTTGGAAATTGATATCTTTATTAATTAATTTTGGTTATTATGAGGCATTCTAAATAATAATTTAGAAACTAATGGTAAGTTCTATTGATGTTCACCTATGTGTTTTACTTAGCTGTGCTGGTTTTTTCTTTAACTGAAGATTAAGCCTGGGCAACATGGCGAAACCCTGTCTCTACCAAAAATACAAAAATTAGCTGGGCGTGGGTAGTGCACACCTGTGGTCCCAGCTACTCAGGAGGGTGAGGTGGGAGGATCGTTTAAGCCTGGGAGGCAGAGGTTGCAGTGAGCCAAGATGGTGCCACTGTACTGCAGCCTGGATGACAGTCTGAGACCCCATCTCAAAAAAAAAAAAAGATTATATGAAAGAATTGGCACTATTTTTTCTAAACCATCACAAATATATTTTGCTGTCTTTGATATATTGCATTTTCATGTTTCTATCTTTTAGCCTTAATTATAAGTTTAAATGTTAAGAGTGATCTTGTGGCTTTAAAACAAGGTAAAAACTATGGTTGGGCGAGGTGGCTCAAGCCTATAATCCCAGCACTTTGGTAGGCCGAGGCCAGTGGATCACCTGAGATTGGGAGTTTGAGACCAGCCTGGCCAACATGGTGAAACCCTGTCTCTACTAAAAATACAAAAATCAGCTGGATATGGTGGCACGCGCCTGTAATCCCAGCTACTCAGGAGGCTGAGGCAGGAGAATTGGCTTGAACCCAGGAGGCAGAGGTTGTAGTGAGCCGAGATGGCGCCACTGCACTCCAACCTGGGCAACAGAACGAGACTCTGTCTCAAAAAAAAAAGATAAAAACAACAACATAACGGTTGTATATAACCGTTGACTTTAAACCCTTAATATAAAATGAAACATTTTCCCCTTTATGTTGTTTGGCAAAATAACAGTTCCATCTGACATGCTTTTGTGTAACCTTGCATGTAAGAATTTGTAAGTCTGAGGAAAAGAGTGAGATACAGTATATGTAAAACTATGAATAGGAAATAAACTTTTAAGTTAGTTAACAAATAGATTTTTTCATACTATCATAAATTCCAAAGAAGAGAAGTAGTTTTTCCCAAAAATATTTTAATTCCTGGATTTAAAAAAGAACTGTTGATGTCTTCCCATGAATATAGAAAGTTTAATTTTATATTTATTAATAAAATCAGGAACATACCTGTTTGCTATCAGTACCAAGTGTTCCTTAACCATGTGTTTTGGTAAATGCTTTTATTTCTGTGGTAATACCTATATTAGTATTATATCAAACTTAAGCATCCAATACAAAACCAAACAGTAACTATCATGTATTATCTATTGTTCCAGGCATTTTAAATGCATTATTCTTATTTAATTATCACAACAGCCTGTGTGGGAGATTTAATTATTCCTGTTTTACAGATGAAAAAACTAAGAAATTAATTATTTTGCCTAAGAACGTCCAAATAGTTGTGATTTAATTTTGGCTCCTATGCTCTTTCTGCTTTGTCAGACTTTCTAAATTGAGTAGTATTAGCAAAGAAAACAAGGTAATAGTTTGTTTTTTATAGTACAAATTAGCTGTATTTGTGACTAAGTTGTATAACAAGTGAAATAGTTGGGTGCGAGTGGCTCACACCTGTAATCCCAGCACTTTAGGAGGCCAAGGCAGGTAGACTGCTTGAGCCCAGGAGTTTGAGACAGCTTGCACAACATGGTAAAACCCTTTCTCTACCAAAAAAAATACAAAAATTAGCCAGACATGGTGGTGCATGCTTGTGGTCCCAGCTACTCAGGCAGCTAAGGTGGGAGGATCACCTGAGCCCAGAAAGTCAAGGCTTCGGTGAGCTAAAATCACGCCACTGCACTCCAGCCTGGGCAACAGAGTGAGAGAGAACCTGTCAAAACTTAGGGGGGAAAAAAGTGAAATAAAAATTTTTATAAGCACATTTGCTTTTCTGTTTGTTTTTCAGTGGTTCTTTATCACCTCACTATTTAAGCTCTGTACTCAAGGAGAACCAGATGCGAACCCTCAGAGGTATGTGTGAATATCAGTACAGTCAAGCGCCACACTACAATCTTTTGGTCAACAGTGGGCTGTGCATATGATGGTGGTCCCCTAAGATTATAATGGAGCTGAAAAATTTCTATTGCCTGGTGACCTGGTAGCTTGTTGTAACATTGTGGCACATTTACTAAAGTTTTTACTTCAGTAAAATGCATTTACTGAAGTTTGTAGTGATGCTGGTGCAAGCAGACTCACTGCACTGCTAGTCATGTAAAAGTATAGCATATAGTTATGTACATACATTAATACTTGATAATGGTAATAAACAACTGTGTCACTAGTTTGTGTATTTACTATACTTTTTACTGTTATTTTTGAGTATACCCCTTCCACTAATTAAAAAAAGTTAACTATAAAAGAGCCTCACACAGGTCCTTCAGGAGGTATTGTAGAAGAAGGTATTGTTATAGAAAGATGACAGCTCCATGTGTTTATTGTCCCTAAAGACCTTCCAGTGGGACAGAATGTAGAGGCAGAAGACAGTGATATTGATCTTGACCCTGTGTATGCTCAGGTTAACGTGTGTATTTGTGTCTTTGTTTTTAATTAAAAAGTTAAAAAAAATGTTAATTTAAAAATAGAAGGCCGGGCGCGGTGGCTCAAGCCTGTAATCCCAGCACTTTGGGAGGCCGAGACCATCCTGGCTAACACGGTGAAACCCCGTCTCTACTAAAAAAATACAAAAAACTACCCGGGCGAGGTGGCGGGCGCGTGTAGTCCCAGCTACTCCGGAGCCTGAGGCAGGAGAATGGCGTGAACCCGGGAGGCGGAACTTGCAGTGAACCGAGATTCGAGCACTGCACTCCAGCCTAGGCGACAGAGCGAGACTCCGTCTCAAAAAAAAAAAAAAAAAAAAAAGAAAAAAGCTTATAGGTTATAAGTAAAATATTTTTATACAGCTGTATTATGTATTTTATGCTGTTATTACAAAAGAGTAAAGTTTAAAAAATTAAAAAGTTTTTAAAGTAAAAGGTTACAGTAAACTACGGTTAATGTATTGTTGAATAAATAAAATCAATTTAGTGCAGCCTAAGTGTATAGTGTTTATAAAGTCTACAGTAGTGTACAGTAATGTCCTAGGCCTCTACATTCACTCACCACTCACACTCTCTGACTCACCCAGAGCAATTCCGGTCCTTCAAGCTTCATTCATGGTAAGTACCCTATACAGGTGTACCATTTTAAATATTTATGTAGTGTTTTTGTTGTACCCACTTTTTTGTCCCCTGGCAGAAACTAATAGAGCATTTACTGTACCTTTTCTATGTTTAGAGACACAAATACCATTTGTGATACAATTGCCAATAGTATTCAGTACAGTAACATGGTGTACAATTTTGTAGCTCAGGAGCAATCCTAGGTGTGTAGTAGGCTATACCATTTAGGTTTGTGTTAAGCACACTCTAGGATGTTCACACAATGACAATCACATAACAGTACATTTCTCAGAACATATTCCCTTCATTAAACAAAGCATGACTGCATTTTTTTTTTTTTTTTTTAAGAGATGGCGTCTTGCCGTATTGCCCACACTGGTCTTGAATGCCTGGGCTCAAGTGATCTCCTGCCTAAGTCTCCCAAGTAGGTGGGACTACAGGCACACATGACTATATTTTAAATCATAAAAAATTCAGATAAAAATTTGGGGTATTTTGTTGTTGCCGTTTAACATTTTTCTATTTTAAAAGATATTATATATTTATTATAGGAGATTTGGGCAATAAAAACATTTATAAAGGAGAAAGTAAAGTCATTTATACCATTGTTAATATTTTGTTTTATTTTTATTTATTTATTTATTTATTTAGAGACAGGTTCTCACTCTGTCACCCAGGCCAGAGGGCAGTGGCACAGTCCATGACTCACCACAGCCTCAAAATCCTCGGCTCAAGCCATCCTCCCACCTCAGCCTCCCAAGTAGCCAGGACTACAGGTGCCATCACACCTGACTAATTTTATTGTTAACATTTTGATATAGTTCCTTTGGGGGTTTTTTAATGCCATATATGTAAATAGATACATTTGCATGCATGTATGTACAGGGACACATACATAAACACACACATACTTTTTCTCCAAATACTAGATTCACACTGTGTATATAGTTTTATATCCCATTTCCATTTATTTTTGTGTGTATTTTTCATTGAAAATAGGATTGAATTTTTTAGTAATATCAGTAGAGTTATTACCTTTTCAGGTCTATCTTAGACTAGAATAGGGGTTGGCAAACTATGGCCATGGCCATATCTGGCCTGCCATCTGTTTTTGGGTGTCCCATGAGCTAAGGATGGTTTTACATTTGTAAAATGGTTGGAGAAAACAAAATCAAATAACAGTAACATTTCAAGACTATGAAAATTCGTTGCAACAGAGACCTACATATTATATCCTGGGTTTTGCCTCTTAGCATGCAAAGCCTAAAATGTTTACCATCTGACCCTTTACTGAAGAAGTTTGTCATCCCTTGAATTAGAATATACTTGAAGATATTTCTCCTATAGGTTATTTAATCTGAAGAACTTTAATTTTAAAAGGTAGTAAGTTGACTTTTTAAAAGCATATCAAAAGTCTGAATTAGTGGGGTTTTTTCTTCTTGTAGATTAGTAATATAGTAAAATCAGTTTTTCTAGTGTTGCTTTGGAGCCTAGAGACATTTTCATAACCTTTACAAATAGAAAATTTCGGATGAAAACCTTTCTGTGTATCAGAAATTTTTTGGCTCTTTGGAACTATACTAAACTGAGCCTCAGAAGCAGTGTGCTGATATCTTTTAAAATAAAGGAGGAAAAGAATATGAAAAAGTTCTAGAGAACCCTGCAAAGTTAAATGGATAGGGGATCTGTTTCAGATAATGTTCTGTCTTAACATAAGACAAATATCTGTGTTCCTGTTACCGACATCAGTAAATGTAGTTTCTCTTTACATTTAGGTATTGCCAAAACGCCTTTATCTTTGTATTGCCTCAATAAAGTCTGACACTTATTCTCTAAAACTCAGTTTATATACATATTTTGAGAATATTTTCTTTGTGAATTCTGGAGTTTACTTAAAATCTTTTCTTCCTCTTGTTCTATTCTATCCAAATTCTTTCTTTGGGGAACAGACATTTCCACGAGTTTCTCCTGCTAATTTCAGCTGCATGTTTTTCATTATTAGGGCACAGGTACTTCTTCTTCATCTAATGGCTTATACATGTTATGCATCATCTCTTTCATGCTACCAGCACCTTATCTCCATTCCTATATGCATGGGTCTTAGGCCTGTTCCTCTAGTAATAATTAACTTAGTAGGGAGGTGGTTGGTATTCTAGGTTAAAACAAATGCACATCTGTCCTGGAATATAATACAAAATTCTCCTTGAATTTTAAGGGGAAAAAACACAAAACCTCACAAATTTAGGAAATTTTATTTTTGAACTTGGTTGTTTTGGGGTGTATTTCTGAGGAAATTTTCTCTTGCCTCTTTATATTATTTCTAGAGAGAAGTTTAAAAAACACCAAGTGGATTAGACATTCATTACAGCTAATACTGTTGAGCCTCCTGCCAGACTCCTTGTGCCAGAAACTGTTGTAGGTTCCTTGGGATATGCATAGATGAGGCCTGCTCTTAGAAAATGTATACTTCGGCTGGGCACAGTGGCTCATGCCTATAATCCCAGCACTTTGGGAGGCCAAGGTAGGTGGATCACATGAGGTCAAGAGTTCGAGACCAGTCTGGCCAACATGGTGAAACCCTCTCTCCCCATCTCTACATGTGGTGGCACATGCCTGTAATCCCAGCTGCTCGGGAGGCTGAGGCAGGAGAATCACTTCAACTCAGGAGGCGGAGATTGCAACGAGCGGAGATCGCGCCACTGCACTCCAGCCTAGGCAACAGAGTGAGACTCCATCTCAAAAAAAAAAAAATTGGTGGAGAACACCTGATTATCAATGATTTGTCCCAAGATACAACCTCAAACTCTGTGGAACAAAAGTTCTCCCTGGCAGAGAAAATCATAACAATAGAGAAAGTTGTCTGGCAGTTGCTAGGAATCTGTCTGGCATGTTGATATAGACCAGGTAGATGTGGTCATTAGCCCATGTTGATGTAGACCAGGTAGATGTGATCATTAGTGTGGCAAAGCAAATATAGAAGTTTAAGAGCTTATTTAGCATAATAAGGACTTTGAACATCCTCCTCTGCCTAGAACAATTAATAAGCCTTAAGTTGCTTACTTGATGCTTTGCATGCATTATCTAATTTAATCCTTAAAACAACCTTCTGAGATATTGCTGCCCCTCTTTTACAAATAAGCAAACTGAAGTTCGGGGAGATTAAGTAACTTCTCAAGGTCACACAACTAGTAAGTGGCAAAGAAGGATTCAGATTCAATAATTCTAATTTCAAAGGCTGACTCCTACTAGATAAGTGGCACTGGGAGACCTACTGAAGAACTTTAAATAGTGAAGTGACATTGTCAGTTTTATGTTTTATAAAGATCACTTAGGTGTTATTGTTGGCCTCCAATATTAAAACATATATTCATCTAACACTTCACAGAATCATTTACTGGTCATTATATTAGAGCTACCTTTAGACATATAAGACTAAGGCGAGAGATTAGGCTTAGAACTCCAGAAACTGCTATCAGCCTAAACAGATGCAGCAGTGTGTTTGTTGTCTCTTGATCAACTTATAATGACTAATTTTATGTGACAATATCAGTGTTACAGCATTGTATAATAGATAGCAGGAGACACAGGATTCTCATACTGAGATAGCAGAACAAAATTATTTTTGGTTAATAGTTTGGTTTGGTGTGTATTTAGAGTAAATTCACCTGTTTAAAAATATTACTGAACTGTTCTAGACACCAAGGTACATCAGTGAACAAAGCAGACAAAAATGGAACTCACATTCCAGTTAGTAAATTTTAGTGGTTATGCTAACTACTAAAAGCATCTGGTATACTACAAACAGATATAAAATTAAGGTAGTTGATGGTGATGTTAGGGCTACATGTAAATCTAAGATTTGTGTCTTATTGAAATGAAACTAAACCAGTGGTCCAGAGAGCTTAAAGTGTTGGTAATTTATTGAAACTGTTCTTCTGCTTCAGAGAATTACAAGAGACAGCTTCTCCATCTGGATGCTCTGCAAATGTATATATTAATTTTGATAGAGACAATAAATCCTTTTTTAGTTACTACAAAGCTTATACCATTTAAATTATTTCTTTAATTCTCATATCATTCCTTACACAAATGAACTGAGAATCAAACAACAGAAATATGCTTGACTTACAACCTTACTCTCATATGGCTAAAACTGGTGTCTTTTAATTGTTTTAATTATTTTTAATAATTTCCCAACATCAAGGTTAAGGAAATAAAGATCAACAGGCACAAATTAACAGGTTTTTTAAATTGCTGTTTATTTTTTGTTTTTTGAAACGGAGTCTCGCTCTGTCATCCAGGCTGTAAGTGCAGTGGCACGATCTCTGCTTGCTGTAACCTCCACTTGCTAGGTTCAAGTGATTCTCCTGCCTCAGCGTCCCAAGTAGCTGGGATTACAGTCACGTACGACCTCACCCGGCTAATTTTTGTATTTTTAGTAGAGACAGGGTTTCACCATATTAGCCAGGCTGGTCTCAAACTCCTGACCTCAAGTGATCTACCCACCTCAGCCTCCCAAAGTGCTGGGATTACAGGCCTGAGCCACCCTGCTTAGCCAAATTCACAGTTTTGACACGGTTTTTTTGAACCAGTTATGAAATCAGTAGCATGTTTGAAACTACCAAATTTTGATTCCTTGTGAACTGGATATGTTAGATAATACAGCTAATAGTGTTATTGTTTTTAAAAACAGAGCCACCTTTAAAATAGCATAAAGTACTTTATCAATGAAAAAATACCATTATGAAGTGTTTTCAAATGTGACAATAAACAAATGAGTCTTCAGTTTAAATTTAATAGTAAAATTGACTGAGCACGGTGGTTCATGCTCATAATCCCAGCACTTTGGGAGGCCGAGACGGATCCCTCAGGAGTTCAAGACCAGCCTGGGCAACATGGTGAAACCCCATATCTACAAAAAATATGAAAATTAGCTGGGCGTGGTGGTGCACACCTGTGGTTCCAGCTACACGAGAGGCTGAGGTGGGCAGATCACTTGAACCTGGGAGGTGGAGGTTGCAGTGAGCCATGATTGCACCATCGCACTCCAGCTTGGACAACAGAGTGAGACCCTGTTGATAACAAACCAATCAACAAAAACAGATTGGGTACTATAATTAAAAATTGTTTGTAAGTTCTACCCAGAGAATTTTTATTCCCTTTGTTCTACAAAGTTCAATATTGTACCTTGGACAAATCATTGATAATCAGGTGTTCTCAATTATGGTGGTGTTTTGGGTTATTTCTCTATTGCTTATTTTTAATGTTGAAGTTAAACTTTTTTTCACAGTTAATTGGCAAGGCATTGTAGGAAGCATATTTATAAATGTTTTAAATAAGATACAGGCAATTTTTTTTTTTTTTTTTAAACAAAACTACTTTTAATACTTTGGGGTGAGCCCCACAGGAATAAAAAACACTGGGAAGGGGTAACCCCCTCACCCCCGGGAGTGGCCCAAGGAGGGGAGAGGCTACCTGAGGGGAAGGAAGCACAAAAGGGACCCGCTGCAGACTCAGGGCAAAGGGAATGCTATCGGTGCTGGGACCTGTGAGCACTACAGGAGGAAACGCGAGCGTGGTGGGACTGGCTCCAGGCACACAGGCGAAGGGCAAGAGGGTTGGACACGAAGCCACAAAGCTACTTGGGTTCCTCCTTCTCATTTGCCTTTTTCTGCTTCTGCTGCATGATCTCCGAGTCCCTCTGCTTGCGGGCGGCAGCAGAAAGCCCGTCATCTCGGCGCTTTCCCTTAACCGAGTCGCTCTGCTTTTTCATATTCTTCTGGCTGGCGAGCTCACGCTGGTTACCGCGGCTCATGGCGATGGCTCCGACCTGCCTCCGTTACGTCCCCTCGTTCTGTCCCGCAAAATTCTTTTGTAAAGAAGTGTTTGGTTTCACAAAGTTAATTTCATGTTGGAGAATTCAAATTAATTTGGCTGTAATAAGTTATTTACAATAAATAAATACATTTAAGGAGGATTTTTCGTACTATTCTACTGTTATAGAAACAGTACTTAATTTTGTTATCGCTTTAAAATATTCAGAAATGGTGTTCATGTAGCTTTCTTATGTTATCAGGATAAGCCTCTTAATCAGTTTTAGGTGCTGTGTTTCAAAAATATGTTCCTTGAATCATAATGGATGCTTGTTAAAAGAAGTCAAGTTAGGCCAGGCAGGGGGCTCATGCCTGTAATCCCAGCACTTTGGGAGGCCAAGGTGGGTGGATCATCTGAGGTCAGGAGTTCCAGACCAACCAGACCAACATGATGAAACCCCATCTCTACTAAAAATACAGAAATTAGCTGGCGTGGTGGCAAGTGCCTGTAATCCCAGCTACTCAGGAGGCTGAGGCAGGAGAATCACTTGACCCAGGAGGCAGAGGTTGCAGACAGCCGAAATGGTGCTGTTGCACTCCAGCCTGGACGACAAGAGTGAAACTCCATCTCAAAAAAAAGAAGTCAAGTTAGAGATACACTAATTTTTTAGTAAGTGGATTCTATAGGTGCTTCATTTATAAGACAAAGTTTCTGTAATTGGTTTCTCATTATAATGCATTTCCTTGTTAGATTATTTTACCATCACCTTCCTCTTTTATAAAATTGGAAACAAGGTAGATCCTTTTTTATTAAAAAGAAGAATTAGGCTGGACACGGTGGCTCACACCTGTAATCCCAGCACTTTGGGAACCTGAGGCGGGAGGATCACTTGAGCTCAGGCAACATAGTAAAACCGTATCTCTACAAAAAATAAAAATATGTTGCCTGAGCTCAAGTGATCCTCCCGCCTCAGGTTCCCAAAGTGCTGGGATTACAGGTGTGAGCCACCGTGTCCACCCTAACCCTAACCCTGTAATCCCAGCACTTTGGGAGGCCGAGACGGGCGGATCACGAGGTCAGGAGATCGAGACCATTCTGGCTAACACGGTGAAACCCCGTCTCTACTAAAAAATATAAAAAACTAGCCGGGCGAGGTGGCGGGCGCCTGTAGTCCCAGCTACTCGGGAGGCTGAGGCAAGAGAATGGCGTAAACCCGGGAGGTGGAGCTTGCAGTGAGCTGAGATCCGGCCACTGCACTCCAGCCTGGGCGACAGAGCGAGACTCCGTCTCAAAAAAAAATAAATAAATAAAATAAAAAATAAAATAAAAAAATAAAAATAAAAATTAGCCAGGTGTGGTGGTACATGCCTGTGGTCCCAGCTACTTGGGAAGCTAAGGTGGAAGGATCGTTTGAGCCCTGGAGGTTGAGGCTACAGTGAGCCATGATTGTGCCACTACACTCCAGCCTGGGTGACAGAGGAGACCTTATGTCTTGAGAAAATAAAAGAAAAAAAAAAAAAAAAGAAAAATTAGTTTATGGAGAAGTAATCTCTCTGTTGGGGCTTTTGCATAATGCCATGCATGTTGTACCCTCTGCAAGTTCACCTGGCTTAAGACAGTGAGTGGGACCTGAAATTCAGCCCACATTCCATTCTTCTAGCTGTGTGCCTTGAATAGGGAACCATTCACCTAGAGGAAGATTTGCCTTTTTTCCAACTCACACAGAGACACATTATGGGCTAGTGGCTGCATCTTTTCTTCTTCAGATGTGATAGAATACTGAACTCAGAACAAATTGTCTCAGCCTTCATCCTAAAAAACAGGAATTGGAGAGGTCATTTTTTTTGCTAATCTCTTGAATGTGGCATGTGGGCATCATTGATTCAAATCCTTTGTACTTGCTCTTCTTTCTGCCTAATACTCTTTTCCCTCAGATATCATTCTTTCCCTCCCTGAGGTCTTTGCCCAACTGTAGCCTACCTTCTCCTTCAGGATTTCTCTGACCTCTGTATTTAAAATTGTAACCACTTTCCCTAACACTCTATTTCCCGTTCCTCTTAATTTTTTAAAATTTCTTGGCCATTTGTATGTCTTCTTTTGAGCAATGTCTGTTCTGATAATTTGCCCATTTTGAAATTAAAGGGTTTTGTTTTGTTTGTTTTTCTGTTGAGGTGCTTGAGTTCCTTTTGTATTATAGATGTTAATCCCCTGTCAGAGTAATAGTTTGCATGTATTTTATCACATTCTGTAGATTGTCATTTCACTGTTGATTGTGTCCTTTGCTGTGCAGAAGCTTTTTAGTTTGATATAATTCCGTTTATTTTTGCTTTTGTTACCTGAGTTTTTGAGGTCTCATTCATAAAATCTTTTCACAGACCAATGTCGTGAAGTGTTTCATCTTTGTTTTCTCCTGGTAGTTTTATTGTTTCAGTTCTTACATTTAGGTCTTTGATCCATTTTGAGCTGATTTTTGTATAGGGTGAGAGCTGGGAGTCTCATTTCATTCTTCTGCATATAGATATATGTTCAATTTCCTTTGTATCATTTATTGAAGAAACTTTCTTTCCCCCAGTTAGCGTTCTTGGCACCTTTGTCAAAAATCACTCCGCTAGGGTGGGCACGGTGGCTCATGCCTGTAATCTCAGGACTTTGGGAGGCCAAGGCAGGCAGATCACTTGAGGCCAGGAGTTTGAGACCAGCCTGGCCAACATGGTGAAATTCCATCTCTACTAAAAACACAAAAATTAGCCAAGTATGGTGGCACACCTCTGTAATCCTAGCTATTCAGGAGGCTGAGCACAAGAATCACTTGAATCTGGGAGATGGAGGTTGCAGTGACCCAAGAACACTCCTCTGCCCTCCAGCCTGGGTGACAGAGTAAGACTCTGTCTCCAAAAAAATACATATTAAAAAAAAATTAGTTAGCTGTAAATATGTGAATTAATGTCCAGGTTCTCTATTCTGTTCCATTGATCTATGTGTCTTATTTTTATGCCAGTACCATGCGTTTTTGGTTACTACAACTTTGTAGTATATTTTGAGGTCTGTTAGTATTTTGCCTCCAGTTTTGTTCTTTTTGCTCAAGACTGTTTTGCCTATTTGGGGTCTTTTGTAGTTCCATACAACTTTTAGGATTATTTTACATTTCTGTGAAGGATATCTTTGGTATTTTGATAGAATTTATAGATTGCTTTGGGAGTAGTATTTAACAATACTAATTCTTCCTATCCATGAGTATGGGATGTCTATTTGTATTGTCTTCAACTTTTTTGTAAGTATTTTAATTTTATTTTTTGTAGCTATTGTGAATGAGATTACTATCTTGATTTCTTTTTCAGCTAGTTTGTTGTTTTGTGTATAGAGATATTACTGATTTTTGTGTATTAATTTTGTATCTTGCAACTTTACTGAATTTATCAGTTCTAAGAGTTTTTTGGTAGAATCTTTAGTTTTTTCTATATATAAGATCCTGTTGTCTGCAAACAGGAACATTTGACTTCCTGTCTTCCAACATGGATGCCTTTTATTTCTTTCTCTTACCTAATTGCTCTGGCTAGGGCTTCCAGTACTGTGTTGACTAAGAGTGGTGAGAGTGAGCATCCTTTTCTTGTTCCAGTTCTTAGAGGAAACGCTTTCAGCCTCTCCCCATTCAGTAAGATGTTAGCTGTGGATCGTGAGGTCTCATTTTACTTGGGGAAAAAGAGGTATAGTATTATGTGCTGTCTCATAGCAGCCAACATCTGATTTACTTAAGCCTGGATAACAATAGCATTTCCTGCTTAAGAGAGTTTATGGTCTAGTTGGAGAGAAAACAAGTCAATATCTTCATGGCTTTATTATCTACAATACCTTTTAAATTAGACATTGAAAGTAAATAGGAAATCTTTATGCTAATAAAAATTTCCACCTTTGAGATATAGATTACAAATTTCATATCTGAGTCTTATTTTAAATGTCTTTTTGTAAGCTAAAATGTATAAATATTTTCTAGCTTTTCTAATTATTAATGGTGTAATTTAGATTATACCATTTTACTTTTCTTTAGTTACTCAGACGAATATATCACCAAGATGAAGAACTTACAGCAGTAAATATAAGTAGATATGAGAGCATAACTTTATCTGTTGTAGAACCTGCTGATTTTACCAGTCTTGTAAAGCCCGTTTTTAATGGAGTATCCATTTGACTTCATGAATATTATATTTATTTGTGGTACTTGCAGGCTTATGTATAATTATGACTAAAACAATACTAATTGTTTTTGTTTCTGCATATTCACTTAGCATTTATAGTTTTACATGATCTAGACTGACGAATTACATATTTTTATCTCCTGCAACTGACATGTAATTAGCATAGTACTTCATAACTGCAGATATGCATAGGTAATGATAGTATTCAAGGTAAAAATGCAAAAAAATAAATAAAAGGAGTAATGATGTACATTCTTAGCTAATTTAGTCTGTTTAAGGGGAAACCTTACTGAAATAACAGTTTAAGTTTTCGTTTTCATTTTGAATAATTAAAGAAGAGAACTTGTATTATTTCTGGTACCTTTCCATTTCTTTTATACAGTGCTGTTCGCAAAACTGTTTCATGATTTTAAGTGAACAAAATCAGACTTCAGAATAATATATAATATCCCATTTTTAATGTATGTTTATGCTTTCTTAGAATATACACCAAAATTGTAACACTGGTTGTCTTTGGGTGCATGCAAATACTTACAATAGCCTCTCTTTTATAAAGAACATTAATATTATTACTTTTTCCCTTTTCAGAATCTGATATCGATGCTGCTGCTGCAATGATGCTTTTAAATACTTCTATAGAACAAGGAATTTTAGAATGTAAGCAATTGTGCCTTTTTTAAAAAAAAATTTTAGTGCCTTTTCAAATTTAGCCTAGACTATAAAATAACTTACAAAATTACTTCTTTCCAACCAAATTTTATTTTGATCTAAGTAACTCAGTTTCTGTTTTATTATACTTTCATTAATTTATGTGAGCAATTGAGAGATTGAAGTTAATGCTGTGATTTTTCTTACATTGACCAAGAAATGAAGAAAAATATATTTAGAAAAATGAGCTCGAAGAGCTAAAAGTAAAAATGAAAACTATAAACAAGAAAATATAGTAAGTAAAGTATATTTATGAACTTGGACTAGGAAAAACTTTAAGATACAAAATGCAAAATCCATAAAGGAAAAAAATGGGTAAATTTAATAAAACATCAAAATTTTAGCATCTGGTCAGGCATGGTGGCTCACGTCTGTAATCCTCGCACTTTTGGGAGGACAAGGCAGGTAGATCACCTGAGACCAGGAGTTCCAGACCAGCCTGGGCAACGTGGCAAAACTGTCTCTACAAGAAATACAAAAATTAGCCAGATGTGGTGGCGCATGCCTGTAGTCCCAGTGACTCAGGAGGCTGAAGTAGGAGAATTGCTTGAACCTGGGAGGTGGAGATTGCAGTGAGCCATGGGCACACCACTGCACTCCAGCCTGGGTGACAGAGTGAGACTCTGTCTCAAAAAAAAAAAGAAAAAAGAAAAAAGCATCTGACAACAAAATACGTCTAAGAAAAGTGACATAAAATGCTGGAGACGTGTTTTTTCCTTATATAACAAAGGACTAATATCAAGTATATACATAAAAGGATTCTACAAGTAAGAAATAAGAAAACAGTTCAACCGAAAAGTCAGCAAAATGTATGACTAGGTGGATCTTAGACGAGGAAATATATGTGGGCAATACACATGTGAAAAGATGTGCAACTTCTCTAGAAATTGGGTAAACACAAAATGAAATAATACTGAGATAACTTTTTTGTCCATAAAATTATAAAAAATTTAAGTAATTGAGAATGGTGTTAAGTAGGGAATAAGCTCTGTCATACACTGTTGGGAATAAAACCATTTTGGATGGCAGTTTGAGAATACCAATTATAATTTTAAATGTGTATATCCCTTAGCAATTTTTTCATATCTCTTTTTAAAAATTACTTGCATATATTCAAGAAAAGGCATCCAGAAGGATTTGTATTGCAGCATGATTTATACTAATGAAAAATTGGAAACAGGCTAAATATTAACACAAGTGATTAAACAGTGGTACATTCATATTGAGGCATTCTTTGTAAGCAATTCAAAATATATGTTCTATGGAAAAGTCAAGACATTGTTAAATTGTTTTTTTTTTTTAATGTTTCAGATTAATGCTTGCAGAATGATGTGATCTGGGTAAAAAAATAAATCTACAAAGCATCATTAATCTAAAACATTTACTGCTCAAGAGTAATGTAGTAGTTTAAAATTGGTCTGTTTTTGCAACCAAACACATTTGACCTATTGATGGAACTTTTATTTTCCACAGGTGAGAAACCTCTTCCTCTTAAAACAGCATTGCAAAAAAAGAGGAGTTACGGCAATGCATTTCATCATCCCAGTGCTGTACGATTACAAGAGAGTGATTCTTTAGCCACCAGCATTGATCCAAAAGAAGATCACAATTACAGTGCAAGTAGCATGGCAGCACAGCGTTGTGCATCCAGGTCTAGCGTGTCTTCCCTGTCTTCTGTAGATGAAGTATATGAATTTATCCCAAAGAATAGCCATGTGGGAAGTGATGGCAGTGAAGGATTTCACAGTGAAGAAGATACAGATGTTGATTATGAAGATGATCCTCTTGGAGACAGTGGCTATGCATCACAGCCTTGTGCAAAAATCTCTGAAAAAGGGCAGTCAAGCAAAAAGATGCGAAAACAGACATGTCAAGAAATTGATGAGGAGCTCAAAGAAGCAGCTGGATCTCTGCTCCACCTTGCTGGAATTCGTACATGTTTAGGTTCCCTAATAAGTACTGCAAAGACGCAAAATCAAAAGCAACGGAAAAAATAGAAATACTTAAAGTGTGGCAATACTCTTTCACTTAATTCTTTACAAGGGATATCAAAGCCATAATGGACTTCATTAGTTTTAGGGTAGGGAAGGGATACGAATTACTTATTTCTTTCAAAACATTTTTGGTTTTTGGTTTTTAAAATTTTTATTAAACAATTGCTGTTAGGATCATGCCTGATCAGAAATATATGATGTGAAGTCCTGAAAGCATAATTTTTGTGGTAAGTGTCTCCAAGATTTGGAAATTTTTGTATAAGAAAATCCCCAGCCTCTGTCTTAAACTTGTGGGACAAAAATCCTTTCTTCTGTTAATATGTCAGAATGTAAGATTTGGCAACCCTATAAATGTTTTTCATTTTCTTTTCCAATCTGTAACTATAGTTACTGAACCAGCTAAAAATTTTGCTAATGTACTTTTCATATACTTCTCTCCTGACACACAATCCGGTAACATAAGATTGAAATTTTTTTACTTTGTTTTAATTTGTTTTTAATTTTTTGTTGTTGTGGTGGTGTGGGCAAAGACAAACATAAATTGAAAAACATCCTGATGTTTAGAAAAAGTTTCTTTTGGTTACATAGGTAGAGAATGCAACAAAGAGTTCTAAGGTTTAGAAAAGACAATTTTGTGGTGTTATTTCATCCAAGAACACTCCCAATTCCTATTACAATGGTAGCTTTGAAGTGTTTTTACTTCACAGATACTGCATAGCATTTATTGGGGCCTTTTATTCTTGCCCAAAGTGCGTTGCAAACATTAAGTTTTAGCCACTAGCTGCCTTTGTTGAGTATAAGTTATCCAATGAGAGGATATAGCCAATTAAGTGTGTTATGGAGTACACCCCTTTTGACACACTTGTAATAAGAGAATCTTTCATTTGCCTGCCACATGTACTGCATTCTGAGAATCTTGTAATAGGAATGGAGTGTAATGAAACATTCTGAGTACTAATTGCATATGTATCATAAAGTAGGCCATTTAGGAAAAAACTTCTGTCCAAGCTTTGTATGAATTAAATTTATAAGTATAACAAATTAAATCTTAATAGATTTGATGCAATTTTACAAACAAAATTACCTTCATGAATTTCAAAATTCATATAAAATTAGATCTTATGCAATACACCCTTTTGAGGAGGCAGTGTAATAACCTATAGTGCCATTGATCCATGAGAAAAAGATTTTCTGCTACTACTCCAAAAGTGCTTTGGCTGAGTATCTTATTTGAACAGTCTGCTTATATGAGACAGTTTTTCATAGTATCATTTGTATAATTTGATTAGATTATTCAGAAACAATAGGATGCTAAACTACATTTATTCGTTGTATCTTTTTTTTTTTTTTTTTTTTACAATGATGGAAGCAACTTTCCAGAAGTTCAGTCTTATGCTACATCCTAAGTCATAGACAATGACCTTGTTTTCATCATTCTGATAGATTGTATACATATGTACACATATATATACACACACATGCACAGTCAAGGTCATGATGTTGATTTGCTGTTTTCAGCTGTTTCTATGATTATAAAGCATTTTTTAAGAGACAGATATTTTAACTTTTAATTTTTATTTTGGCAAAACTGTCAAATGAGAAAAATGATTTTAAAAACTTTTTTTTTTCAATTGACAAGACTTTAAGTCAGGGATAACAGTATTAATGTTCTCTGTTCTGTTTCCATGTTTAATTTAACCTGGATAGCCACATTAATGAATTGGTGCTATCAAAATATAGTAATTTTTAAATTTGTTAATAATGAAAAATAACCCTTAAGCATGCAGGATGAGGTATTTGGGTTTTTTCTTTATATCGATCACATCTACAGAAAATGGCTAAACCAAGTTAACTTTTATTATAGACAGTGAATAAAACACCAAAAACCCAAAAATGCTTTAACCACAGTGTAAATAATAAAGAGATTACACACATCATTTTAATAACTGTTTTTAAGTTTTTACCATAGCCTTCTGGATAGACCTTAGGAACAGTGTTTCAGTAATCTGGCACCAATTTATTTTGTTCTGCTGAAATTCTGTATCACAAATGTGCTACCTGGTTTCTGTCCATAAGATAATTACTCTTTCTTTATAAGAAAAGGAAAGTGATCTAAGAGAAGCAGAGTTAGTTCCAGCTCTAATAGGGATCTTCAAAGTTATTTTGTCTTGATGTATGTAACAGTAATTCTTTACATCTTTTGATTTTTCTCTTCCTTTTTATTCACTCTTCCCACGAATTTACATGTTTAAGTTATATTCATCACTAGCAAGGACGATAAACACTTCTGCACTGAAAGCTAACAGGGAGAGATTACTCAATATTTTACAGTTTCTTAAACTTAATTTAGTGCATCACCTTCCACTTGCTAACATACCAAGCCAGTTATTTTCCAGGGGAAGCACCTTTTAAATTATGGTCCTCCAGTTACTACTTCCATTGAGATCATGCTCTCATTCCTCAGGTGTTTTGAGAAACATGACTAATAACCATATAATTAAGTAGAATCATTCCAAGTCCTATGGCCTGGAAATTGTATTCCCGATAATACACAAGTTTTCCTGTAATAAAGTCAATTTAGAAACTCCAAGGTGATTACATGTTTTCCAACATATCCTAAAACTGTGGTATAAGCTAACATATATTTTGCCTTACGTCAAAAGAATATGTTTTGTTGCAGCTGATTCCAGTTTATAATAGATCCCTAGTAAAAAGCTTTGATTCAGCACGATTGTTCATCTTCACATCCCAAACAGAATCAGTGTTCCTTGAATATATATTTTTGAAGTTTTTTGTGCAATATATTACTAAATCAGTTATTATTTTACTTTTCAAATTCAGAGAAAGAAAACAGATTACCTGAATTCATGGAAAAGGTGGATCACCTCCCTTTTTCCACCTTCAAAGCTTTTCCTGTCCTCATAGCCAGCATGACTTCTTTTAACTTGGATTCCTTTGTATATAGTAAAGTTTAGTATATATATTTTTTCTTTTGCTACTTTTGGAGGCATTATGTAAAGGGCTCATACTAGATGTTCAGTTAAATATGCTTTAGCACAAAGTCAAACTAGAGAATGTGTTAAGGAGGGAATGTATGTGTCTTGGTAGACCAGGAGGCCTTTCCCAGCAATTTAAGCAACAGATGTGAATACTTCACAAAGCTGTAAAGACCATTGTCTTAAATACTGCAACAACTTAACACCCTTTTGTGAAGATCATAGCATTTATCTAAGAAACTTTGAGGCTTTCTGGTTTACATATATCTTACAGGTTTTTTTTTTTAGTTTGAAATGTGTAAGCTTTGATTTAAACCAAGTTTACTTCAGTATGTTAATGATGTAGTAAAAATATTTATTGAAAGGCGAATTAGAGTATTTTAATGTTATACCTGCCATTTTTTTTCTTAAAGCATATTCTTTGCATCTAACTGCCAGTGCCATTATCAAAACTTATTTTTTAAATCGTTGTACATTTCTTATTAAACTAAGTGCTTAATTTTAAAGTATTATGTTGCCATCATATAGTGTATAAAAATGTATAATTGCCAATTGATTGTTAACTATTATTTATTTTTAAATGAAAGTGTAAGAATGCTTTCTGATTCAACAAATTTGTTATCAAACTGTTTCATTATCCTCTTTTCTGATGTAGCATAAAAATTGTCCCGGTTTGAGTTATAACTGCCAGTAGATGACCAGTCACAAGTGAACCACTTTTCAGTTGCCAGTCTTTGCTCATATTAAAAACAACTTACGAATGCTTAGTTTTTGTATCTAATCTCTGATTATTAAAATGTTTATAAAGTTTATTTTTACCAAAGAGATGCAATTCATTATGACAAAGTATTGCATAATAAATTTTTTTTATAACATTTTTTTTGTGCTCTGATCTTTTGTAGGATAGGGTGGGGACAGGAGAAGGGTGATAGGGCAGATGTGATGGCTTATACTTCTACACACACTTTCCATCCAAATTGGAGTCAGGGAAATGAAAAATACAGTTAAATTTCAAAAAATTTTTTAAAGTTTTTTTAATGGTTTTTAGATGTTATCTTAATTATTGAAAGCTAAAACAACATTAATTAAATTACTGTCTTCGTAAAGTTGAACTTCTTTTCCTGTTAATTTACATGTATCTGAAATATTTTGAAATATAACTGGGAAAAATGGAGTAGAATATGAAACCAGCCTGGCCAATGTGATGAAACCCCATCTCTGCTAAAAATACGAAAATCAGCCAGGTATAGTGGTGAACGCCTGTAATCCCATCTACTCAGGAGGCCGAGGCATGAGAATTACTTGAACCCGGGAGGCGGAGATTGCAGTGACCTGAGATCCCACCACTGCACTCCAGTCTATGTGATAGAGTGAGACTCCGTCTCAAAAAAAAGTCATCAAGAGCTTTATGCCAATAAATTCAACAACTTCAGTGAATTAAAAGGCAACAATAAGAAAACCCAATCTAAAAATGGGCAAAATACCTGAACGGACACCTCACCAGAAAAGATAACAGATCACACTCATTGATACTTACCCAAATGAGTTGAAAACATGTCTAAACAAAAACCTGCACACAATTGTTATAGCAGCATTGTTCGTAATTGCCAAAACTTGGAAGCAAATCAGAGGTCCTTCAGTAGGCAAATGGTATAAACTGGTACATCCAGACAGCAGACTATTATACAGCAATTTTTTAAAAAGCTATCGACATCCCAAAGAAGATATACAAATGGCCAAAAAGAACATCAAAAGATCCTCAACGTCGCTAATTATTAGGGAAATGCAAATTAAAATCACAATGAGATACCACCTCATATCCATTAGAATGGCTACTATTAAAAGGTTAAAAACACCACCAAAACTAAATGACAAGTGTTGGCAAGGATTGGAACACTTGTGCAGCCACTACAGAAAGCAGTATGGAATTCAAAATAGTACAGTCACTGAAAAGCAGTATGGAAGTTCCTCAAGAAATTAAAAATAGACCAACAATTTTACTTCTGGGCACATACCCAAAAGAATTGAAAGCAGGTTCTCAAAGAGATATTTGTCTACCCATGTTTAGAGCAGCATTATTCACAATAACCAAAAGGTGGAAGGTTATGACTCATGTTGATAGCACGTGTTGTTGGTATTATATACAAATGGACTTTACCTCTGTGATCTGCCTCCCAAAACCAATAGCCTAATTTTTAAAAAGAGATCAGACAAATTCTGGTAGCTTGGCATCCTACAACAAGCCTGACCAGTATTCCTCAAATCTGTAAAGATCATTGAAAACAATCAAAATCTGAGAAACTTTCACAGCCAAGAGGACCCTAAAGAGACACAGCAACTAAATGGGAGGTATCCTGAAGGGGGTCCTGGAATAGAAAGATGGTATTAGGTTAAAAACTAAGAATACCTAAATAAAGTATAAACCCGTGTTAATAATAATGTATCAATAGCAGTTCGTTAATTGTAACAAATGTACCATACTAGTGTAAGAGGTTAGCAGCAGGGAAAACTGCAAGGCAGGGGGCATATGGAAAGTATCTGTATTATTTGCTCAAATTTTTTAACTCTGAAATGGCTCTTTAAAAAGTCTAGTTTTAAAAAAAACAAAAACTCAAAGCAAACTCCAAGTCCAAATGGCTTCACATAAATTATATTTATTATTTAAGGAAGAAATAATACCATTATACCCAAACTCCTTAAAAGCAATAAGAAAAAAAGAAGACAAGAAAATATGTCATAACTTGCTTTATGAGGCTATAGGTTTAGCATTAACCTAATACTAAAACTGAGTATAAAGACATTACCTGCTGGGTGCGGTGACTCACGCCTGTAATCCCAGCACTCTGGGAGGTCAGGGCAGGTGGATTGCTTGAGGTCAACAGTTCAAGACTAGCCTGACAAACATGGCGAAACCTCGTCTCTACTAAAAATACAAAAATTAGCCAGGTGTGGTGTCACATGCCTGTAATCCTAGGTATTTGGGAGGCTGAGGCAGGAGAATCACTTAAACCCGGGAGGCAGAGACTGCAGTGACCCGAGATTGCACCACTGCACTCCAGCCTGGGCAATAGAGTGAAACTCAGTCTCACAGGGGAACAAAAAAAAAAAGGCATTACCAAAAAACTACAGACCAATACGCATCACGAATGTAGACACAAAAATTCTTAACAAAATAAAATTCAGTAATATACAAAAGAGACAATAACCAATGGGGCTGGCCCTAGGAGTACAAGTTGGCTCAATATTAAAAATCATCATTATAATTCACCATATCAACAGAGGCAAGAAGAAGAATGTTGGGAACTGGCTCCAAAACTGGCTATAAACAAAATCTCTGCAGCACCATGACATGTTCGTGATGGCCGTGACACCCACACTGAAGGTTATGGGTTTGCCGGAATGAGGGCAAGGAACAACACCTGGCCCACCCAGAGCGGAAAACTGTTTAAGGCATTCCTGAACCACAAAGAATAGCATGAGTGATCTGTGCCTTAAGGACATGTTCCTGCTCCAGATAACTAGCCAGACCCATCCCTTTGTCTCAGCCCATCCCTTTGTTTCCTGTAAGAAATGCTTTTAGTTAATCTATAATCTATAGAAACAACGCTTATCACCGGCTTGCTGTCAGTAAGTATGTGGGTAAATCTCTGTTGAGGCTCTCAGCTCTGAAGGCTGTGAGACCCCTGATTTCCCACTCCACAAGCTATATTTCTATGTGTGTGTCTTTAATTTTTCTAGTGCCGCTGGGTTAGGGTCTCCATGACCGAGCTGGTCTTGTCAAGTGGTGCCCATATGTGGAGCTCAAACCCAGGTTGAATGGTTGCCAGAGCGACAGTTGGAGAACGTGGAACTAAGCTGGAGAACACCTGAGTAATCTTAGGCAATCCCCACGGTGAGTAAGAAGGGGAGCTCGGAAGCATCAGGGTAACAATGGGACAAGTGTGGGCTCTGGTTCATTCCACCTTGGAACCTTTTCACACTGGTGATGAGGAGGAAGGAGAGTATAATGAAGTAACACAGCAGGTTTGTTTGCCAGCTAAAGCTAAACTGGCAAAGGAGGGAGAGGTTCATTCCTACCCTTCTGCACCCCCTCCTTATTTTGAAGAAAAAGAGTGGCCTCACCCTCCAGATCTTTCTTTTCCGGAGGACTCTGGGCAAAACGTAGTTGCCCCAGTGACTGTTCGAGCAGCACCTCGAGTGACCACTCTCAGTTCTATTCAGGCAGGAATCCAGCAAGCTAGAAGAAGGTGATTTAGAGGCTTGGCAGTTCCCTGTTAGAATACACACCCCAGATCAACAGGGAAATATTATAGCTACATATGAACCTTTTTCTTTTAAATTAACTCGGTTACAGGAGTCTCTTAAAAAGGTGATTGCAGGCTGGGTGTGGGCTCAGTGGCTCATGCCTGTAATCCCAGCACTTTGGGAGGCCAAGACAGGCAGATCATGAGGTCAGGAGACCAAGACCATCCTGGCTAACATGGTGAAACCCCATCTGTACTAAAAATACAAAAAGAAAATTAGCTGAGGGTGGTGGCGGGTGCCTGTAGTCCCAGCTACTCAGGAGGCTGAGGCAGAAGAATGGTGTGAACCCGGGAGGCGGAGCTTGCAGTGAGCCGAGATTGCGCCACTGCATTCCAGCCTGGGTGATAGTGAGACTCCATCTCCAAAAACAAAACTAAACTAAACTAAACTAAAGGTGATTGCAGATTGCAGATTTGGCTGCTCAGGATATAGTGTTGCGGTTATTAGCTTTCGACAATGCTCATCCCGATTGCCAGGCTGCTCTGTGACCTATTAGAGGGAAAGCACATTTAGTTGATTATATCAAGGCCTGTGACAGTATCTGCATCAGGCTGCTCTGCTAGCCCAGGCAGTGGCAGGACTGAGAGTGGATAAAGGAAATACATCGCTTCCTGGAGCTTTTAACTGTTTTAACTGTGGGAAGCATGGTCATGCTAAAAAATGTAGAAAAAATCAGTGAGTCAGGCCACCAGATAGGGGAAAAAAGAAAACTGTTGAGCCTGAAGTATGTCCAAAATGTAAAAAAGGAAAACATTGGGCTAATCAGTGTCATTCTAAATTTGATAAAGATGGGAACCTGATTTCAGGAAACGCCATGGGGGTCCTGTCCCAGGCCCTGTTCCAAACCTGGGCATTTCCGGCTCAGGTCATTCCCTCACCCCTGTACAATGTCTGTCCCCTGCCACAGCCAGTAGTGCTGCAGTAGATTTATGCTACATAAAAGCTGTGAGCCTTTTGCCTGGAGAATCCCCGCAAAAGGTCCCGTCAGGAGTCTGTGGACCCTCGCCAGTGGGGATGATAGGATTACTTCTAGGAAGGTCTAGTTTACATTTAAAAGGAGTACAAATACATACAGGAGGCATTGATTCAGATTACAATGGGGAAATTGACATTGCTATATCTACTTCTGTTCCCTGGAAAGCAGAGCCAGGAGAGCATATAGCGCAGCTCCTGATTGTGCCATATGTGGAAATGGGGAAAAGTGAAATTAAATGAACAGGAGGATTTGGAAGCACAAATAACCAAGGCAAAGCAGCTTATTGGGTAAATCAAATTACTGATAGATGTCCTACCTGTGAAATAACTAATCAGGGAAAGAAATTTAAAGGTTTGGTAGATACAGGAGCGGACATTTTAACCATTTCTCTACAGCACTGGCTGTCTGCATGGCCAATTCAACCTGCTCATTTTAACATAGTTGGAGTTGGTAAAGCCCCTGAAGAATATCAAAGTAGTTATATTTTGCATTGTGAAGGGCCCAGTGGACAACCTGGGACTAGTCAACCAATTATAACTTCTGTACCTATAAATTTATGGGAGAGAGATTTATTACAACAATGGAGAACACAAGTT